GTTTGAATAGTACGTGGCCCTAATGGAAGTTGGCTGACATTCAAGTAAACAGGGAAGGCATCCCATACACTGAACTTATCTGGAGAGGGAAATATCCATGTAAGTGCTGTTTGACAGTAAAGGTTCTTGTGCCAAAGGATGCACAAACCCAAGGATGCTCACTCTCCCATCTCACCCCATGTAGTAATAGCTGGGACCATATATCCACCAGCACACACTTACATTTTTAGTTTAATTACTGATATACGATAACAGCCGATATGGAAAGAAGATATGTGTAACTACATTGAATTGTAACACCAGAGTTCCAAGAAAGCCTTAATAATATAATCATATACCATGTTCACAACTACTTTGGCATATGACTTGCGCTCATCAGTTAGAGAACATGTATATTCTGGGTAATTGTTTTGCCATCACGTCTAAACTATAATCCATTTGAATTGCTGCTTAATTTGTCAGTGACTGTGTGTTATGTATACCAGACTTATGCCTGTGGTTCAAGCTGTTGAAGGACTGTGGCTGTTATTTGAAAGTATTCAGCTCGCTTAATATCTGTAGTCTTCAGTATATCCCAGAGTGCCTTACACAGCTTGTTAACATAAATACCTGTCATCATGGAGAAAACCAATGCACCTGAAAGTTATTTGTGGTGGATAGGTGCCAAATTAACCTGTATCTTTAATGGCACCATTAAACCCTTACAGTGCAGAGTGTGTTTCTGAACAGTAATGGATTTAGTTTAGACTCAGGAAATCGTATTGTGAATATGTACAGTACACCCGCATATTTAGTGTACAGTTTATTTAAGCAGCTGCTGTAAATGTCTGTAAAAACTAAAAGCATATACAATAGTTTTCTTCCATGATAAAATATGCCATGGTTTACTTGTGTTTTCTAATGTAATCTCATAATAATCATATCCTAAATACTTAATGTTTGGTTCTGTGCTAAAGAGATAATCGATGAGCCTAAAATAGGCTTATATGTACAAAGTTTTACACATATTTTTGTATTGTGATTCATATGCTATATATATCAGAGACTTTCTATTCATTTGTAAAGTACATAAATTATTGTAAACTTTTAATTAAAAAAGCCTTTTAAACGTATGAATGACTAGACATGGATTTTCTCCATGCAGCACAAAAAGAAAAGTGTTGAAGCCACCATGTAAACAGCAGTAGTTGCTTTTGAACTATACCAATGGAGTAATCTGAGTAAGTTTACACATTGATCAGCATGCATAAAAAAAACTATGTTCCAGATTGTTGTAGAGAATATTTCCATTTATTATACCAACAATTACAGCCAACCATAGACAACCCAGCTCCCAACACATCTCTTTAAATGTCTTATGACTTGATTAAATAGCTGTATCCTGCCAAGAAACATTCAATTTCCATATCTTTATCCTATTTTACCACATGCATGCCTAGCGTACAAAAAGGTCTATATGCTGAGGAGGTGTGAAGACAATGTGCTGACAGTTTGGAAATACCAAGGTTATGTAGGTTATGCTGAGAAGAAAGAAGTAATTGACTGGTCTGTGACCTGAAGCCCACTTCCTCCTTTCTAAAGTTTCCTATTATGGTGGCCCATTGGAAGGGAATATAGCACAATTTCTGTAAATGGTGGTTCTGGTTTCCTGCTCATGGAAGTAGCCTCCAAAATCTTCCAAGAGAATTTGGGGAGTGTCACACTGGCCATAGGAGACCACTTTGTGTGAGCAGTTGCACATAGCAACTGGATTAATAATTCTGGAACTAGTTCTTACATTAGGTACATTAGAGATGTAGGTTCATTAGATTTTACGGGTCTTGACTGTAAGAAATCACTTCATGTTCGTGGATAAATAGGGGTCTCTCCTTTCTGCTTGCTTTAAAAAAAAGAACTTTGAGCCAAGCTTTCTGCTAGCATTGCAGTGCAATGACCTAATTCTGTTTAGTAACTCGTTTCTAGAGCTATAATCCTGTATCAGCTAAAACAACAAGGGAATAAAGTATGTGAAACAGAACAGTCTGTTGCCCAAAGGCTGACATCAGTTGCAAGCAGAAATCGTATACTGGAGTACTGTTATCTCATTCATAATGAAACTCAAAATTTATATAATCTGTGGAGGAACCTACTTTTTATATGAATTCTGACCTAAATTACCATCAGCAAAATGCAACAATTAGTAAAAAATAAATAAATCCCACCAGGTAGCATTGAAATATTTCCACAAATAGTATAATCAAATTGTTTGTCAGACACCACACTGCAGTTGTGGTGAAAATGTAACAATTTTTATTCTACTTTTTTGCACATATCTGGAACAAAATTAAAGGAATGCAGAAGAGAAAATGCAATGTATGCCAGTGTATCATGTGCTTCATAATACATGCATTCCATTCAAATAAGTCTTCAAATTTCATCTACAGAATTGTAGTTGGCAAGGGTTTACAGACTTAAGTGTAAGCACTGGGCTACTAATGTTCTATAGCCCTACATACAAAAGTGCGTCGCTTTTGTTCAAAACGCCTTTGGCTATCCCTTAATAAACTGTTAATGGAGCAAAAGCAAGCACGTTATCTCTTGTGCCTGTCTCCGTTGGTAAGGGAATAATTGATTCAATAAAGGCTGTCAGTAAACTTCCATTGTGTTTATTCTTCTTCTGGGACCACCTCGACTCATGCATGGTGAGTTGAGCCAACCCCCCGCGAGAGGCAAAGCAGCGTTTAAGTGACAGCGATGGAAATTCTCCTGTAGGTGGGCTCTCGCTGGGATGTCCTCCTAATGAACTCCTCCGGCGCGGCTGCTTCAGCACCACAGAGCGTGGACAGCTCCCAGCCAGCCAGCCAGGCTCGTGGCGAAGACCAATGGCGTTACCTGCCTAACGCAGCGCGGAGCTGGCTAGGAGTTTACATCTGACAAGTGAAATCGGATTGAGCCCCTGCGTTGCCGTGACACCCCCATCCCCACACGGCGCTAGTTCCCCAGCCCTCCCCGAGGGCAACACTTCGCTCCACTCTCCGGCAGTCCCAGGCAGGCGGCCTCCCTCCCTAGCAGCCATGGCAGAGCCGAGGGAGCAGCTCCAGCCGCCGGAGAAGAAAGAGGAGGAAGTGCCCGATTACTTCGCGGCCCTCGGCACCTGCAGCCCCAAGCCCCGGCAGAAGTACGGAGGGATGTTTTGCAACGTGGAGGGCGCCTTCGAAAACAAGACGCTGGACTTCGAATCGCTCGGCGGAGGGAGGCGAGGGGGCAGCAATCAGAAGCTCAGCCGAGGGGACCTCAGCCAGCTCTCCAGCGGGTCGGAGGGGCAGAGCGAAGCCAGCAGCGGCAGCCAAAGTACCCCGGTCCTCACACCCGCGGGGCCGCCGTCAGTTGGAGTAGCGGAGGAATTATCCAATGGCTGCCATCAGGTAACGGGGGAAGGAAGGCGCTGGGGACGGTCAATGGAGGATATGAGCTATGGGGCTAAACTTTTGAGGGTGCGGGATAAAGCAGAACCAGCGCTCTGTCTGTCTGTCCCCCATAGAAATGTTTCAGGGATGTATTTAACGACCTGAGGGAGGTAATGAGCAAATCCGGTGCAGAAAGGCCAGTCCCTTAGCGGAATCAGCCAAACGGCCCGGGAACAGGTAGAAAGCGTCTAGCGTCTGGGTCTCTTCCAGCCAAGTAGGCGGCGCTCGAAGTGACTTGGCTCTTGCGCGCAGGTTCAGCTCGTGAGACAAGGACCTGGCAAACCCGTGAGCGGCTCGGCGTCCGCCCTCGATTTCAGAGGCGCGAGAGCTGCTCCGAGCAAGCGACAGAGCCAGCTGCATTTCCTGAACTGGAATGTGGTTTGGAATTCACAGTGGAGCCGCCGCTTCTTAATCGCATCCGAGGTCACGAAACCTGTCACAATCGCCCCCCTCCCGCCCTCCGAAGAGGACTGATCGGGACGCCAGGTGGCGATTGATTTCCCAATCGGCTGCAGCCCGTTTAGACGGCTGGCTGGCTTTCTCCAGCGTCCTCTTTAAATGTGGCGAGGCAGCCATGTATACCCCACAGGTAGAGCAGGAGCACTGTGTCCTCTGTTATTTTGCAACGCAAATGAGCGTCACCGGGGACCTGGCTTTTGTCTCTTCAGTCTCTTTCCAAGGCAGAGTGCACATCGGAGTCAGCGTGCATGGTCCGTAGAAATCTCCTCTGCTGCTGGGAGATTCAACAGACCCGGTCTTATGTTACAGCCAATGGGAGTCATTTTATTGATTTTAATATGAATAAAAGAATTGGATGGGAAGGCTGAAATGCTTTGCACATTTACTGTAGGGTAGGTCCGGGTTAACTCAAAGGGACTTACTTCTGAGTAGATAGGTATAGGAATTTCAATGAGGCATACTTTGGGGGAAATTGGCATAACAACTCAAAACGCCTTCTAAAAAGATAGGACCGGGTGTTTCTTCCCAGTAGCAGGAGCCATGCGGAGTTTGTGGAGATTATATTAACCCAGAATGCTAGTCTTGGTGGCTATATTCTTACCTCCACTGTGGAGGCAGTAGACTTCTGAAAGCTAGTTGCTGGAAGCAGCAGGAGGAGAGAGTGGCTGCAGCGCTCTGATCCTGCCTGAGGGCTTGCCATAGACATCTGGTTGGCTACCAGTGTGATGGAATAGATAGGCCATTGGCCTGATCCAGCAGGCTCCTTTTACACACACACACACACACACACACACACACACACACACACACACCACCACCACACACCCCTCCTACATCTGAGAGGGAATTGCAGCAAGGCGGAATGCCCCTCTTCTCTTCCACTTTAATGCTGATAAATGGTTTTTAATAAACTACTTCCCACGTGGTGCAGTGGAGAGGGAGGGAGGGAGTCTCTTGTGACAATCTCTTTTTCCTGGTAATTTGAGCACAAAGCTTTAAGAACTGAGGTTTCGTTTGCCAGTCTAAATGCCACTTGGCTGCCCCGCAAGTTATTGATTAAGGCTGTAATTCTAAATAAAAATAAAGAATACTTACCTTGGTGTAAGTTCCCTTGAACTCTGCTTCTGAACAGGCATGCATATTTTCTCTTTGTTCTCTGAAATGAGTGACACATTTTACTTATTCCTGCAAAACACTTATACCCTGTTATCTAGCCCAGCAAAACGCCCATTTAAAGTCTTTAAAAGATAGGACACAAAAGGAAAGGGGTGTGTGGAGGGAAGAGGCAAACGAACAAAACTCAGGCAACACATCTTTAATGTTACAACCTCAGTCTCCTACACCAGAGCCATCCAGGATCACATCCAGACTCCAGCTAACCTGGAACTTGCTTTTCCATAGGAGTGGCCAGACTGATGCTTTCAGGAAGCCTACAGGCTTAGCACAAAGGCAGGAGCCCGCTCCTTTTGTTTGCCTCCAAGGCCTCCCATTATTCATTATTTCCTTGGAATATGGACGACCCATCGCCCGTGGCCAGGACCCCTTAGAACAGAGCAGACATATCCTCTGCATGAATTTATCCCATCCTTAGAAACAAAACCAGCATACTAAGCTACTGGTCACCAATTAAATCGTGCGGCAGAGAATTCCTTAGTGAATTGCGCGTCATTTGAAACAGCACCTCGCCAAGTGCATCTGATTCCGCAGAGGATCCCCTTAATATTCGATCCTAACCAGATCTCTGTCTTCAACACCCGGTGGTGCTTATGAAGGAAAATTCTGACCAGGGCTGAGCTGGTTGCCCCGAGGATCTAATGCTATATTAAAACAGAGGGTCACTTAAACCTGAAATACACTTGGAAAAGTTAAACAAAACGGGGCTTCCTTTTGAATGGACGGACAGATGACAGCGCTGTAGGGAAGCACATGCCTGTTTGGGGCTACACAACAACATTGCTCTGCATAGGAGTCAACTCCTAGGGACTTCGCCCCCCGCCCCATAAAATATTTGAGGGGGCCGGTGACCCCCAAAGTTGATGGGCATTCAAATGGGGTGTATGTGCCGCGTCTTGTGATCGATTATGCGGGAGAGGGCTTACCTGGGGCCCCCCAAATTTTATTCAAGTTGGCACCCCTGCTGCTCTGCCGCGTGTGGTCCTAGTCACTCGGAAGCCGGTTCCACCGACATCAAGGATATTGGCTTTCAAGTTAAACTCGGGGTGAGTAAGTCCCCAATCCAACGCAAGGTTTGAAATCTAGATCTGAAGCGGGGTGGATGGGGGGCAAGTGATCTAACTTCCCGCTCCCAAATCAGCCCCGGGGAGCCGGCTGCGTCCTGATGACTATACCAGCTCCCAGAAGGATGCACACACACACCCCCAAGCGCCAACCGGGAAACACAAAAGCCCCCTGGGCTGCGTCTCCAGCCAGCCGCCCCCTTGCTGACGAGGGCCTGGCCCCTGGAGAGAGAGGGCTCGGCCACGTGGCCTTTGTTGGCCGGCGTGGGGAGGCGCAGGCTTTTGTTGGACAGGGCCGTGGCTGCTGCGGCAGGCCGAGCTCGCAGGAGAGGCCCCGTTGGAGCTGTCTGCCTGCGCGTCTGGGGCCCTGTCTGCCGCTGCCTGGCGCACGGGCGTGGAATGCTAATCAGGCAGCTGCTCACTCGGCAAGGCTGCCGGGCGGCCGGCGCAGGGGGAGCCACCGAGCTGCTCTCGCTCGCTCGCTCGCTCTCGCTTGCCCGTCCTCCCTCCCTCCTTGCCAGAACAATCCGCCGGGCGGAGAGGCGCGCACGCACACGCGGCGCCACTCAGCACAGAGCCATCCGCCGGCGCCAGCCGCTGCTCCCTCGGCCGGCCGCGTTCCGGACCCACAAAGGCCCCTCGTCACCGCCGCCGCCCGTGACCCCTTCCCACTTCCCCGTCCCGCGCTCGGCAAGGCCTGCGGGGGAAGATGTCGTACCAAGGCAAGAAGAACATCCCGCGGATCACGGTGAGCCGCAGGGCCCTGGGCTGGCATTGCTCTCCGAGGGTCCGATCTGCGCTTCCCGGGCTTTTGCGGAGCCCCCAGCCCCCCCGCCTTTCCCGAGGCTTCTGGTGAGGATCCCACCCGGGTGGGCCGCCGAGCTGAAGCCCCTGGTTAGGATTTTCGTAACGGGAAGGCGAGGGGAGGTTTGGGTTGCAACGGGGAGGGAGGGGTAGGTGGAGCTGCGCGGTCCCGGTGGGCTTCAGGGGGAGGGGGCGGGATCCGAGCGAGGGCATTCGGCGTTTGTGCCTCCGCCGGCCATGGCTGGTGGTGACCGTCCGCCTGGGGACTCCTCGAACAACCTCTCCTTGTCCACAGCGCGCTCTTTCTCCCCATGTAACGTTCAGCCTGTAGGTGCGCGCTGCTGCCTTCTTCGCGCAGAAGCGAGCCAATGGGGGCCCCCACCCACCGGCTTTCCAAGGAGAAAAACAAAACAGAGCGCTGTGTTATTCTGGAAGTCTCCCAGGGTTATAAAGCGCAGCGAAAGACCTTGAGGAATCCGCACCCCGAATCAACTTATAAGGGAATGCAAAACAACATCCTTCGTGGCGCGCCTTTCTTCTTCTTCGCTAAGTGGCTGGTGTCGCCTTCTTCTGTTGTTTATCCGCTTGCAGCCCACCCCGCCCTCGATCTGATTGCTCATTCGAGGATTTCTAACTCCCTTTGAGTGGGTGACCTCCTACGACACCATCCTCCATTCGACCCTCTTCAGAATGTTAAAATGTGCATTTCCAGAAGCAGGTGTGCAGTCCAAGCCTCTTTCTCGAGGGGCAGGGGAGCCCCATTTGCCTCCCATGGACAAATCTATATCCGTATTTTCCACCTCTAACAGAGGGGATTAATATCTTTTTGGAAGATTTTGTTTTTAAGCACAAAGAGCTTAATTTAGCTTGGTGTCCAGAGTATTTCTCAGTATCAGGCATGTGAAAGGCAATCAATACAGGTTCTTCAGATACAAGTTGAACAGATAAACACTGAAATGTGGGCATTTCCTATAAGGATTTCTTCAGTGACTGTGGGATGTAGTAACTTCTAATACACAATTTGGAAGTCTTCTGACTGAGGGCTGCTATTTAAGACATTTGCCACTGAAAGCTCCCTGTGCAGAGAATTAGTGTGCTCTTTTGTTAAATGTAACTCAACTTGAACCCCAAGGATTTAAACAGTGTTTTATCCTCAGCTGGATGTGCTTCATGGTAACAATGCAACAAGCTTCTAGTTACCTGTTAAATGCTTTTCAAATACAGTGCACATTCATATTCTCTGTAAGCTAAGCTCTGCTGTTTGAAATACGTCCATGTATCAGACCCATCTTTATGCAAAGGTAGTTATTTCAAATGCCTTCTGGATCTCCATTACATCAACCTATACACACTTGAGACTGCAATCCTATATATATTTCTTTGTCGTAAGTCTCATTGAATTTAATGGGATCTGCTTCCGAGAATACATTCATGGGATTGCACTATAAGAGTAGCAATATTTTCCTCTCTCTCTCTCTCTCTCTCTGTGTGTGTGTGTGTGTGTGTGTCTGTCTTCCCCATCACTGGAAGAAATAACACACAGCAAATTGTCAGGCATTTACCACAACTAAAGGTGTTAGGATCGCTTGCATATAGCCCACATCAATGTGAATCTCTGCATGTTTCTACTTATCAAAGGCAATCATAGTTTGTGGCTATCTTAACATTAGCATTCTCCAAAACACAAATTGTTCTTTTCTTGACATACTTTTGATCTCTTCCCAGGTTTGATCCACTAAATCATTATTATTATTTTGTCATGCTACCCATTTGCATCCCCTCCTTATCCTGCCCTTTATCGGGGGCGGGGGGGGGCGGGTTGTACATTGCACATATAGACACATGCACTATTAGGGTTGCATCTAATACAGCAGATTATGCTTGTGAATTCAACTGTGGAAATTTCTGACCAACTCCCCACTGAAATAAACTGTGGAATAAAGCACACCACATTCATTAGGATCTAAAGAATTGTGAAACTAGTGCTCATGTTCAGGCAGCAGTTCCCAAGGCTGTGTGGCAAGCTGAAATCGAAGAGGATTGAAAAAAACAGCTTGTGGAACTGCATGAAGAGTCAAGGGGGAGAGACCCTGTGAATATTCTGCTGAGCTAGTGCAAGTCCCTTGTGTGAACCTAAGTGTCTCCTTGGATCCTGGCCATGATGACTGAGGAAGCTCTGATGCCTGCTTAAGCCCTTTAGGGTTGACTTTTAAAGTAAGCAACGTCAGAACTCATTACCTGCCAAGTAATTCTTGGTTGTGAGCCTCTTGACCTGATGGCCTAGCCTGTGAACTCTCAAATGCATTAGTAGGAGAGGTAGGTGACACTTTCCCATTCCTTGCATCCTGTCATGTTAGATGGTTTGAAGAGCCTGCTGCATCAGGCCAATGGACCATCTATCTTGGTTTAGACAGGCCTCACAGCTCCCTTCCTTTCTCAGTGTACTCTATTTCTCCCATCAAAATGAGCAGCTGTGATGTCACTTCTGTAGAAGGGGTTTTCTTTCGAGGTGGGCTTTGAGCGGAATGGCTCCTCCCAATGCCTGACATGTGAGGGCTCTATTCTTCATTGTTTGGCTGTGAGCGAGCCAGAGTAGGCCAGCCCTTGAAGCAGCGACTGAAAAGAAGCTGTTTGAATAAAGGCTGGCTTACCGCATCTGGCCCGTGCTCTGGTTGTTATGGAGAAGGGCTGCAGCCTAGGAATAGTTACAGCATTGCTCATCCAATACTGTCCCCCCTTCATGGGGAGGAAGACTTGCAGTGGGTCAGTGAAGCTGTTCACTGAGGTATCCTGATGAAACAAACCTCTTATGCTTTCTATACATTATTCACTTTGATTGGTAGCACAACATGTCTTACCCACATCCTCATTATTGACCCTATATTCCTGTATCAAGGTGTAAACACCCAGGAATTGTTGTGAAGACATCCATTGTTCTGTCTATGACAGGGGTCACCAACCTAAGGCCCATGGGCAGAAGCGGCCTGCAGAGGTCATTTGACCAGTCCTCGAGCTGCCCCCGAACTGAGCTGCTTGTGCGCTGCACTAAACCAGTGTGGCGCGGGGACTTGCTTCTGCGGCACTGGAAATCACATCTGTGCATGCGCAGAAAATCACAGGTGGGCGCATGATCCGGCCCACAGAGGGATCGCCGCGGGACTGATCCAGCCCAGGCAAGAAAAACCTTGCTGACCCCTGGTCTATGAAATGAAACTGGTATGGGCTAACTTGAACTTGGAAGAAGGCCACCTGGGTACTCTAAATCCTGTTATAAGAGGTCCTTGAAAGGGTGTTGTAAACCAAAGTAGCCAACTCCTTGATACTTTCCTTGTTAATACTGTTGCATTTATAAAGGCCTACAGTTAAGGGTATAAGCCCCAGGCTATGTAACAAGGAAGCCAATTCCACATGCCTTCAGAAATTCCTTTTCTTTGTTAAAAATTCTGTTTCAGTTGCAAAACATTAAATTTTTGTTGTCGTTAGGATGGGATACTGTCTTTCTCTGTACACTTACTTTCCTTTGCTGTGTGACTTATTCTGCATTTATTCTGATAATGTGATTCTGAGTCCTTACCATTCTCCAGCAGCTGGCAGATTCCCTGGAATTGCTAACAGAGGTCAACTCAAAATGAGTCACCTTTCAGCAAATTATAGGCCTGATTCCTTGTAATATCCTTGGAGACAGCGCCGAGAGGGGAAATCAACAAAGGCTTTGCACCAGAAACCCTTGGCTCCTTGTTTTGAGAGCTGAAAAATGTGGGATTCTAGCCATCTTAATTAAGAGCTGCCTAGCTGGCACTGTGTTTTACAATAACATTTGACAAAAAAATAAGTCAGGCAAGGCTGATGAGTGTATTTTCTAAATTCTATAACACATAATTCCTACCAGTTGGTCAGATAGCCCAGAGATGCCAACAGTTTTTGCTGCCTTTGTTGTTTGTCTTACATTCTTTTGCATTTCTAGACAAAATAACATCAGCTGCTTTGCATGTCTTAGACAAAGTCTGAATCTCAGGTGTGATTTGAGAACAACACTCAGCTTGCACCACATATTTCTCCATAGTCTGCTTCTGAATGTATACCTAAAGTCACCTTTAATAAAATGTCTGGTCAGCTTGGAAATCATTGTTTGTTTGCTTTTAAATCAGAGTGACCGGCTGCTCATCAAAGGAGGAAAGATTGTCAACGATGATCAGTCATTCTATGCAGATATCTATGTGGAAGATGGCTTGATTAAGTAAGTTGCTGAAAAATATTTTGGAGTACAGTTTTATTTATTCCAGATATTTGTGTACAATTTCATCTACTTCCATTGCTCTCTGATACATTAATTACAATATAACCAAAACATAGAGGAGACAGAGTATAGTTGTTGTTACACAACTACATGAAAGTAACACATTCAGTACTACGGTACACAGCACCTTTTGCTCACAGGGACCTATGGATCAAGATTGTTATTATTTATTTATTTTCTATATTGCTCTTCATCTGAGGATCACAGGGAATGCCCCCAAAGAAGTATGATTGGCATCCATCTGTCTTGGGAGACAATTGAGTAGTGCACCTTTGGGGGGCTAAGTCAAACTGTTGGAAGGTTGCAAAA